AGATGTGGTCTCCACGCACCTGGACGAGGGTCGCCGCCAGCACATCGCGGGTGAGCCCCCGGCATCCCCCGGCTCTGCTCATCCCGGGGGGATCCCCGGCATCTCCCCATCCCTCCTTCCATCCCTGTGGGAACCCCCCCGCTCCGTCTTACCGGGACCCCCACGCCTCTCTCTCGCTCTTTAAAGTTTTTAATTTTTACTTTCCCCGCGGTTTTGCCTCGGCGCAGCTCGGGGGGTACCCGAGGTGCCTCCCCAATGAAAGGCTGCGTTGTGCCGGGGTGTTTGTGTTGGCGGAGGGGCTCGGGGACCCCTCGGGCTGTGGGGAGGGGAGAGAGGAGTTGGGCTCGGGGGGATGCTGGAAGCGCAGGGACACGGCTGTCATACGGGCACTAATATATATATATTATATATAATGTGTATAATATTATATATAATACTAATTGTATAATATTATATATACTATTATATATATATATATATTTATGCAAAAATAATGCTGGAGCTAGCTGAGCGTCATTCCCTTCCACCGTGCTGGGGCATCCTTAGGAAAGGATCTTAGGAACTTGGGAACTCTCCCTTAGAGGTTCTGGGGTGGAGGGAAGGGCTGCCTGCACCCCACGCTGGCTCCAGGCAGGACACAGCAGTGCCCCCGCCCGCTCCGTGCGACGGGCAGGGTGACAATGCGGTCATTGAGAGCCGTGTGTCCGCCGGCTCGGGATGTCTGTCTGTCTGTCTGTCTGTCTGTCTGTCCGGAGCTGCCCGGGAGCCGCGGGGTGACGGATGGTGTGAAGCCGTGCCTGGGGGGCTCAGCGCTGCTCATGGGGTCTGTGGTGACACTGCTGACCCCTCTAAGTGGTGTCACCCCCTGTCGCTCGCCCCGAGCCCCTTTGCGTCACTCGTGATGCTGGCTCTGGGCTCCCCGGGGCTTCTGAGCGGGCAGGACGTGACCTCCGAGCCCTTTCGTGTCCCGGCTTTGGTTTCAGCTCCCCAGGCTGACAAAAAAATCCCCCCTCGTTTCCAGCTGCTGAAGCGGGACCGCACCTGAGCGGTGTCACAGCCCGGGTGGCTTCGAGCTGGACCTTGCGCGTCTCATGGGGACCGCCCATGTTTTGGAGGTGGCTCCGCCGTATCGCTGCTCTGTCGCGGCCATAAAGCCGCCACGGGAGTGGCTCTGGAGTCCTTTTGTCCCCAAGGGCTCAGTGGGAAGGAGCTGCCGTGGGGCTGGCACAGGCACGGCCGTCTCGCCGTGCAGCCCATCCGCCCTGCCAGGCCCCGTCCTGGCAGGAATGCTTACGTGGTATGCGGCTCAGCAGGACGCCAGCAGGTTTCTGAGCTTTGAAGGAGAGCTTGGAACTCGCTCTGGGCTTTTCATCTTGCATTAGTTAAAGTTCCAGCCCGGCTCAGCACCGGCTCGGGGCTGCCTGTGGCGGGTTTGGATCCAAAGCACATCCTGAATTTCTCTGGAGCTTGCTGAGATTGTCTGTGCACAGATTGCAAGCCCCTGTGATCCTAATCCTGAAGAATAACAAGGAGAAGCCTGGCTGGGTTTCCTGTGCAGGAATCTGGCTCTGCTGGGGCAGGGCTGAGCTGCTACCCCAGGGTGGGGTTTAACCCATACTTGGGGTCTGCAGAGGGGAAAAAGATTTCACGAGGGGGAAAAAAAAAAAGATTTCTGTGGAATAGGATTATGGAGGCTGGGCTGGGACGTGTCCCATGCCATGCTGGGGTGAGCAGGCACACACACCTGTACTGGGACACCTCCCTGGGAGAGACTGGGGCAAACTGGGTTCCTGGAGCACCTCTCTGCTCCTGCCAGGGCTCCTGGCTGCCTGAGGAGCCCCCGGAGCTGGGAGGGGCTGGAGCCCAACAGGCAAGGCACGACTTGCTGTCAGGCATGCAAAGCAACGTGGCGGGGAGAGCTCCGGGTTTTCCTGCCTAGCTCGGCCTGTTCTCCCCTGCTGCTGCCCCAGGAGGGATCCTGCCCTTCTCCAAGCAGCTTTTCCCAGTTGTCCTCCCAAATCCGGGGGTTTGGATTTACTGCCCATTGCCCCATGAGCTCTGGGTGCTGGAGGTACAGGAGTTCTTTGGGCTTGGCAGCATTTCCTGAGGTTGCAGCTCCTTAGACCAGCAGAGCTGCTGGGGAGAGCCTGGCCTGGGTCTGTGCTCCTCCTGGGAATGGAGTCAAGGCAGGAGGAGGTGGGAGAAGCTCTGGGAGAAGTGCCCAGGCTGTGCAGGTGCCATGCCCATTTGATGGTGGCTGGGTGAGGCTCATGCCAATGTCCCCCAGAAGTCACCAGCCACACAGGTGTCACTTGGGTGGCTCAGGAGCAGGGTCCTTCCTCCCAGCTGGGGCTGGACGGCTCCTGGCAGTCCCAGAGGCAGGCCCTGCCAGCTGTGGGGTGTCAGGGCAGCCAGGTGTGATGCACAGGTGTGATCCTGCATTCCTTCTCCAAGGTCTCTCTGACCGGTGCTTCCTCCTGCCCCCCTGTTTTGGACATCTTCCTGCCTGACTCAGCCAGTTTGTTTGTCAACACCTTCAGCTGCTCTCCTCCTCCTCCTACTCCTCCTCTTCCTCCCAGATGTGGGTTGGGAGTTGTTTCCAAGCTGCTCTGTGGGCTGGAGCAGGGCTGGCTCACCCTCCTTGTGCAAGGATGCCCAGCGTGGGCACCACCACCAGGGTGGCAGGGATGGGGTGCCCTGCAAAGCCAGGGTGTCACTGGGTGGAGTTCTGCACAGTGTCTCTCATGCCCAGGGTGCTCTCTGCGTGGGACAGCATCACCTCTTCCCTCATGCTGGGATCCTGCTGCTTCCCTGGAGCATCCCATGGACCCCTTCTCCTGGGGGCTGAGCTGGAGCGTGGCTGGCAGGAGCTCTGCGTGGAGCTGCTGCTCCTGAGCCCAGGGA